GATAGAGACAGAGACAGAGCGATGAAGAGAGACAGAGAGAGAGTGCGTGTATGTGTGTGTGTGTGTTGTGTGTGTGTGATCTTTTTCCTCTTCTCACCTTTCTCATATCTGTATCAGACCATCGGTTTAGCCGTCATGAAGCTAATTGCACGACATATCAGTGGAATGATGATGGATGACCCCTACTGGGGTTGACTGGAGAGAGAGAATCGATAGTACAAGCTGGTCAATATAGTACATGATAGGTTGATTATCAGCTTAACCCCTCCTACTCGACTACGGCGCATCGGACTCTTGATGAGATTCGTTGGGGGCCGTTGAGTCAAATATATTAAGAAAGACGTGTAAGCAAAGGGTATGAAGTCTGGTATAGTGCATGTAAATTGCCGTGCATTCTTACCCGATGCCGCAGCCCGCTTTAGGACCGGAGGGTCTGTTACGGGAGGACCCGATGGCATTTTATTGATTCATCACCTATCTACAGATTACTATCTCTGCTATTATCAATATCTATAAGCAGTAAACCTCTCTTTCTCTTGAGGAGAGGAGGAAATGCTTTTTTTTTTTCTTTTTTTTCAAAAAAAAAAAAACTGAAAAAAAGACTAAGACAGATTTAATAAAGAGAGAGAGAGAGAGAAAGAGGGTCGAGACGAAACAGACATGGCTCGGGGCAGCAGAAGAGGTTTCCCCTTGGCCTGCAGCATGCCATGCCATGCAAGATGGACGACGGATACTGCCCACATGCGGTTCACGGATAATATTGAATATTTTGGGTCGTGAGCGAGTGGGGGGAGGGGGAGGGGGAGGGGTAATACATTGTAGTATTACTAGACGGCAGTAGAGATGTGTGTAGTAGTGGTAATAGCAGTAGTAATAGCAGTAGTAGTAAAAGAGATGGAATTCACCCAATTGCTAGGACATCTAGTTAGGACTTGCTATTCATTGTTTCATTTGAGTGTGTTGAACATCACTACATCTCATAGAGACTTGGAGTATTACCGATACCTGTACATATTAGTAGCACAGCTACAAGAGATGAGATGTGTAACCCCGCTGATCCCCTTGGCCATTTGCACATGTCCGATTCGACCCTTGCTTATTCCGCCCAAATACCTACTCGCACACACACACACACATCCAGTGGACATGGTGAGACGTCACGGCGGTGGTGGCTGCCTGCGTACATGACGCTTGCTCACACACGCACACATCCATCATTATGAACCTACATGGAGTACGTATGCGCATGTAGCAGATGTAGTTTCCGTGCCTTTTCCCACTGCACCGCCCTCCAGGGTCATCATACATACACACACACACACACACACGCACACGCACACGCACACACAGATATGAAATCCCCCGACAAGCAGTACAAGTCCCATCCGAGATCGGACAACCACTTGAGTGACACAATGAGTATGCTAGAGGTTGGTTCTTGGCTCTTACCTTCGCCTATTACTTATTACTACTACTACTACTACTACTACTACTACTACTACTACTACTACTACTACTACTACTACTACTACTACTACCACTACTACATACTTACCACTACCACCACCACCACTACTGCTACACACTTACCCACTACTGACTCCGAGGCTACTGACTCCCAAGGTAAACGGAGCAATACCCTCTTACCGAGCGTTGGCGGGCCTCTGTTGCCCGAAGAGTCGAGATGGAGAGGGAGCAAGGGGACATGGGTGGGTCGAACGGTAACTCCCAGCCATGCGATTAGCGATTATTACTCGTACTTCTTTTTATTTTATCCTATTTCATATAATATATCATACTCCGTACATTCTTTTTTAATTGCATGCAACCGCGACTCGGGAATATTCAGGTACTTGGCGCTGCACAATGAAGGTAGGAACCTGCAACTTTGCGACGGAGCGCGTCAAGCTGTCGGGGTGAGTGAGTGAATGAGGGTTCGAGATTCGAGAGTTGCGGTCTTTTTATTCGCCTTGTCTTTACTAAGTGACTGTAGTCATCAATACCACTCTGGTCTCCTCGTGCGCGTCTGTCGGTATAACTTGGATTGGCAGCCGACGTGCATGTGCACTCCATAATGGTAGTTTCTTGGCCTTGTCTTTCTTTTTTTCCCTCTTCCCTCCTCTCGGATGCCGGTGATTCAAGGTACGAGTACGGATACATGTGGCCGGCTTCATTCGGGGGGAAGTATTCATGGTGACAGTAACATTTGACATCACAAATGTATCATGCAGCAGAGCAGGTGGCGGAGGGTGGCGGCGGCCTGCTACGAGTACATCTAATAATACTCCCCCATCTTTCTTACTCCAGAGCCAAGTACTACTATTGCTGCTACTCGCCGCTTACGCAGTTTCTTAGGGCATTTATGGACGATCTGGTAGGCCAGTTGTGGGGAGCGGATACTCCGACACCCAGGCTACACAGTACCGTATTCACGTTTCCCCTCCCATGGAGAGTGAGAGACAGAGAGAGAGAGAGGGAGAGAGAAACTCGAAGCGACAAAGGAGGGGAGGACAGAGGGGAACAGAGTCCGGAGGTGGGGGGCGGGAGGGGGAGGGGAAGAGAGAGAGAGGCAAAGGCATTGAAGCTTACGCAGGCAGGCGGCAGTAGCATCGGTCTTTTGATGGGTTCTAGGGTCGAAGCACCTTGCCCGGAGTAATACGAATTCGGGATTCGTAGAAGGATCAATCGAATGGCAATTGCTACTAGACTCTACTAGTGACTGAGTAGCAGGCAACTTCTACGAGTCGTACCGACGGGATACCCAACCAGTTGACATGCATCCATCAGTGGAGCCTCGTCTCTTTCTCTCTCTGTGCTTTCTCCACCTTCTCGTTAATTCTTCCTTTTCCTTCCTCGGTCGCATGGTATGTTGCTCATTCTGCTGCTACAACTAATACTAGGCACGAATCTACATAGGCACGGCAATACTACTACCACTGCATTATCGTAAGTATCAATACATGTAACAGCAGTTCATATGTTGTTGCTGGTCTATGTATGAGCAGGTACGGGCCACGGCAAAAAAAAAACAACAACCTCCAAGCGGGGCCGTATGAAGAAAAGGAAAATAACTAGATAAATGAATAAATATCACAGAGTAATACCGTAAAACCAAGGAAAAGCCCGTACACAACTTATTGCAAGGTACGAATACCCATACTATTACTAGCTACTAATAGTACGAGAGGACCCCCCCACCAAAAAGAAAAGACAGGCCACAAGCATGGAACATAACATGGAAAGCACACATCTCTCCACTCTCTGGCAGCGACCAACATGGCTCACATGGCACCTGATTCGTCTATTCAGCGCAGGGGAGGGAAACGCCGACGATGCTAGGCTCTAGCACAGCTAAGGGTCCCCCCCCCCCTCCTCTCGGGCCTCCACACCCCTGTGGTTCGTATGGGACGACGACCTCTGTTTGGCCTGACCCCCGAACTCATCTTCGTCATGGTGGCGATAGCGTCAGATATGACAGGGTATGGGATATCCCAGGAATTGGTGTACTCGTATGGAGTAGGTGGAGTAAATGTTAATAGCAAGGCTTGCACCAAGTATTCTTGCACTTAGTATTTTTACCTGTACAAGAGACAGAAGAGACAGAGAGGAGAGGCAGACAGGCAGAAGAGAGGAAGCTGGTAATACTAGTCGGGTCTTTGGCAACATTGACGGAGAAGACGGTGCGTTGTGAGGAAAAAAAAAACCCTCTTCATGAAAGATGACCAAAATCCCAAAATCGTAGTACTCGACGACGGTTATCGTAAGTAGTAATCTGTGATAATAGCAATTGTTCATCAAACTGCGACTGACGACTTGGTCATCCGTGCATGCGTGGCGCGCCACCCTACTTCGGTGCTGGAGTTGCTGGGGAGCGCTGGGGAGTTGAAGGTCCAGTGTAGCGTGCTGGAAATGATCAATACAACGGATTAGATACCTACGAGTATTGCTAGGTTATTACGCTGTACTAGTATAGATCCGGTATTATTTGTGCATGTACGAGGAGGAACTAATAACACTAATAACTAGCACATATAGCAGATACTTTGATGGTAGTAGCTACCTGTACGAGTACGTCCATAGTACGAAACCAGGCATTATGGGGCCAAGGCTTGGGATAATGGCTCCACTACGGCACCCGCAGTCTACGGGTATTAGGTGTGGGCAGTAGGCAGTAGGTTGTAGGTAGGCCAGCCTGTAAGAGTATGGGCTATTAGCAGGCTCCAGGTCCCCCCTCCCCTCCTCCCCCCCCCCCCCCCC